AACTCACATTGCAAAACCAGTATCTATACCATTCTTCTGCTTTTTTATAATGTGGTAAAATACAACATAACATAAAATTTACCATCTTAACTAATTTCAAGTGTATGGTATTAACCCTATGTCCATTGTACCTCTAAACAATAACTCCTCATTCTCCCCCTTCCCCTATCCCCCAGCAACCATCACTCTACTTCTTGTCTCTATGAATTTGACTATTTAGCTATTTAAAGTATATTTTATAAGGGGAAATCATACACTGTTTGTCCTTTTGTGACTGGTTTATTTCACTTAGCATAATGTCCTCAAAGTTCCTTCATATTATAGTGACACCATTCTTAACAGAGCCTCTCTCCAGAACTTCTATTAAATAATGAAAAGTGCTTTTCACCATGTCTTACTCTTCTAAGAGGGCAGGAGGGAAACTGAGGCTTGTCTAAGTACTACAAGATGGCTCAGGAGTATGAGGAAAGACTCTACTACCATCTACATCTTGTAAAACAAAGGCTGTGTGGGGGGATGTAGAATCCCTGGATGTAGGCCTGTGGCCTTGAACATGGCTCTTCACTCTCTCAGTCTCACTTTCTCCTTTGCTCCAATGGATATAATAAAAACTGGCTGTCCTTTCTCAAAGAGTTGTTCTGATGATGAAATGTGGTTTTAAAGTACCCTTAAAAGTATAATGCTTTGTACAATAACAAAGTATTGTTGAGAATCCAGGGTTTGTTAAATCACAACAGTAGCTCATCACATTAAATTATAACAGTATTCATGTCACAGAAGCATTAATTAAAAAATTGAGGTTAGGAAGCCATGCAGGTGAAAGTAAAGGTTTGGAGGCTGACAGCATCTGGTGATAGGTACTCTACTCTGGGGATTGCAACTTTGCGCCATAGCACAGTCACTAAAGGATGCAGTTTAGTACCTTTAGTCATTCAGAAAACACATATTGAGAGCCCATTCTGTGTAAGGCACTGTGCCAGGCACTGGGGATTCAAAGAACAAGGTAGACAAAGTCTTGACCATGGAGTTTACAGTATAAAAGTACAAGCAAACATTAAACAAGTAACCACATAAATATACAGAGGATTAAAGTTTAGGCCAAGGGCCACGAAAGGACAATGCTGGGTGCTATGAAAGAGTTCTGGGGGAGGGAAGGAGGGGCCAATGTAAATTGCAGGTACTGAGAAGGACTTTCTGTAGGGCAGCATTAAATCTAAGACCTGAAATGAAAAAAAAGGTGAATAAAATTGGAACATAGTAAGAAAGATGGAGTGTATCATTGCCCTGTCTTTATTATATACCATAAGTGTTTTGTATTGTCACATCATCTAATATAACTTATAGCTAGCTAGTGTAAGGTATACTGTAGTTACTCCATATTGCTGCTATAAGCTTTAGTATGGGCCTTACATACTCTCCACATAGTCAGTCTAGTACCATATACACTAGTGTAGTTAGTAAAGAACATTTTCTATCATGGCAGAGTGGCCACTTATTGCCGTGGAGTATATCTTCTCTACTTGACTAATACCATAGCATAGACAAGATATTATTAAATATAAATTTAGCTGATAAAATCTGGAGAATCTCTCTGAGTATTCTTCCTTCCTACATTGGATTACATGCTTTTTTTTTCCTTCTTCCTTTTTCTTTTCTTTTCTTTTTTGTTTTGCAGCTCTGGGGATTATACTCAGGATCTTGTACTTGTTGGGCAAGCTCTCTACTACTTGAGCCACACCCTCAGCCCTTTTGCTTTTCGTTTGTTTTTCGGATAGGGTCTTCTACTTTGGAGATTGCATACTTCTTCGATGCGGAAGAAGTAGAAGGGAAGGGGGAGGAGGAGAAGGAGAAATATATATTTAGAACTTATGACATGCCTAGCCCTGTGCTTTTAATACATCATCTCACAAAACCTCTTAACTCTTTAGTGTCCCCCTTTACAGATGAGAAAAATGGAACTTAGTAAGGCCATGTCATTGATCCTAATATTATATAGATAGTAGGTGGCAGAGCAGAACTTGAAGTTCCACCTGACTAACACACAAGCCAATTCTTTCAGCCAGACCTCCATTCCCTCCAAAGCTACTACTTCCTTTCCACACCACAGGGACCTGACCTGTAAACTGCCTCTCCAGCCCAGTGAGGTTCCTGGAATCAGGCCTGTCTTGTACTCTCAAGAGTCTGGCATGCCCAGCCAAGGCTGTAGGAATGTAGGACAACAGAGAGGAGCAGGGGCTAGCTCAGATAAACCTGCATACCTGCCTACTTCTCACAGGCCACAGACCTCAGGCAGATTCTTTAACTTCTCTGAGTGACTACATATCCAAAAGGAGATGTTGAGAAAATGAGAGTCAGAGGGCATGAATGGGAGGCAGAGACATGGTTGTCTGCATTCTTACCTGGGTCCAAAGATCTGAGCAGTCCATGCATGGCTTGCTTTGTTTACTGCCCTAGAATTCTAAGAAACCTCCCTCCATTCCTCCCTTCTTTCCTTCCTTCCTTCCTTCAGTCCTCCCTCTCTTCCCCCAACTTTTTCTCCTGTACTCAAGCTAGTTTAAGTAGATTTTATTATTTGCAAGCAGAAAAACCCTAACAAAGTCCCTCCTTCAGAGTTGCTGTGAAAATTAAACAAAATATGTGACAGGCCATTGGATTAGGAAGCAGACTTCTTGGAGTGTCATTTCCCAAAATGTGTTTTATAGCCCTAACATAGGTGGTGGGCTGTGTGGATCATGACTCTTAACTTTAAGAAACATCGAGTACTATACTCTTCTTTTGAGACTCCCTATGTTTATTACCATATTTAAAACTCTAAAAAGATCCTCTTGTAAAAGGACATGGTTAACTTAACTTGGCATTTCCAAAACTTATTTATAGTCTGAATTCTTTTTTTCCCCATTATTCCTTTGCAAGTCCCACCAAACCCTGAAACTACTGTTAGAGAGAGTAGGGGCTGGCCTACAGGACCTCTAGGGCACCTTGAAGTTCTCAATTCTGAGTCTTCATTATTACTTTTCTTATTCTCCAAAGATGTAGCAGTGAATTCTCATGATTGATAGCCTCTTTGTTGCTACTCAGAGCTGTTTTAGCAACAGGATTAATTCCTGTGGTTAGAGACTTTCTCTAATTCTCACAATGAGAAAGAATCACATTTTCTTACTAGAAGGATGGTAGCTGAAATTTCACTATGATATCATTTCTGAGGGTTGGAACTATTTTATGCTGAAGCACCCTGTCACAAAATCTGGAGCTTAAGACATGTAGAAAGCCTCTTGTCCTCCGTTTAACACTCACCCTGATGTTCATCTGAAGCCCAGAGAGGGGAGCCATTTTGGCCAAGGTCACAGACCTAGCCTTTCCCTGTACAGCAGATGATGACATAAATAAGCATGTGGAGTGGTAGCACTGACCTCTCTCTGACCACTGCTGCTCTTGTAATTAAACAGAAATGTTAACATAAGTCAAATGGTCTTTCCACCACCATTATCACTAACAGCACGTTCTATCTAGGGAAGGTGGAAAGGCATTGCTCTCAGACCTGTAACAAGCCAGAAAGCCTACAAATGCTAATGAACCATCACTTCAGCCAATTAAGAGAGGACTCAAAATTGTCTTCAATAAAGGCTTCATGAATCCCATGGGTTTTCTCCAACTCATACCCAGTGGTACCAGGGAGCCCCTCTGGACCCAATTTCCATGATTTTGGAGATCTGATTCTAATCTGAGTGTGTTCAAGTACCTTCTCATCTCTAGGTCTGTTTCTTCATCAGTAAAGTTATCCTTTTTATTTACTTTTTTTCATCAAACACTTTTTGAGCATCTACTATGTACTGATCCCTCCTGCTAGACACTGGGACACAAAGATCATTAAGGTTAAGTCCCTGTCCTCTGGTGACTTGAAGTCCAGTGGGATTTATGCAATATAATGACTTGTGAAATAACCAGGAAACCCAGCAAAGGGAGTGGCTAATTCTGTTTGGAGCTTGGGGGAATGATATCTAGGAGAGAGCCATGAGGTAAGTTGCCAAAAGATCTAGTGATATGAGGAAGGGATGAAGAGGTTCTGGCCAGAGGGTAAGGTAAGGTAAGGCAGCAGGAACCAATAGGCATGTCTGACAGTAGGTTTTGCTCAGAGTAGCTGGAGAACAGTCCTAGGAGGGGAGCATGAGCGGTGGGGCAGAAAGTTGCACAAACAGGCACCAGGTCAAACAGAGCACTGTTTTCAAAGATGGGGAGATTGTATGTTATCTCGAAAGTTGTGGACCTAATCAGCTCTACAGCTGTATAATTTGAGCAGTGAAGGTGGTCAGTCAATGATCTACTGACTGCATCTTTGGGCAAGTTAATTGTTTCAACTATAAAATAAGGGTAACAATACGATCTCAAAGGACTCAATGTTCTTTTGGCAAATGATTCCCTGGGCAGTGAAATTTTTAGCTGTAAATGATTGTGCTAAAACAGGAGAGAGAGCTTTCAAGACATGAGTGCAGTAAGGCACCTGGCTGGTGTGCCCACACAAAAGAGCAATGCTGTTCACATGATCCGGGATGCCACTCCGCTTCATTAAGGATTTGCACAACAAAGCAGGATCATTTTAACCTGGATGAGGTTCTGTGAAGCACATCCCGCCCCGCCATTTCCTCTGATATTCACAACTGTCCTGCCAGGTAATTATTATCTCCATTACCCACCTGAGCATTGGGGAAGGCAAGTGAATTCCCCAAGGTTACACAGGAAGTAGGTGTTAAATCTGGTACTAGTTCTCCTGATTCCTGCTCCAACAGACTGTCTAGAAATTCCCAACAAGTGACTACAGGTGGCTGTGCAGAAATAGCCAAAGCTAATTAGCTACACTTTCATGAACCAGGGTGAAGCCTCCTCTAATGAACACCTGGCTAGTGTCCTGAAAAGTCTTTCTCAAAGTTTATTCCCAGTTCTCCTTGTTTCCATACCTCCATCCTGTGACTACCTGCATCCAAGCATTCTCCCCAGTCCCTCACCTGTAATTGCCCAGGTAGACTCCGTCAGGGTTAAGCATTGGTGCAATCTTGAAGACCAGGTGTTCTCGTAGGACACGGGCAATTGGATGCTGGCTTACGAGGAAGTCAATGATCCCTAGGGAGAGAAGTGTCTGGATTAACCTTAAAGGGTTTCAAGAATGAGGGAGCACATTTTTCTCATCTTGGAAAACAGAAAGTGGCCAATAAGTAGGTTTTGGTCTGTGTTATTATCAGCTACTGTGGCAATGGGCTAGGTGATTCCCCATCAATCTTCCAAGACACTTATAGCTCAAGACAACACTGAAACCTAGGGACACTAGGGAGAGAGCACTTCCTGCTGGAGAGAACAAGAAAAGGTGTCTTTTGAGCTGTTCCTTCAAGGGCCTGAATGGCAGCAACAACACTGGAAGGTGCCTTCACTGCTGCAACCAGAAAGGCCTTCCTAAAACTGACCCTGTCAGTCTCTCCTTAGTATCCTTCTGGTGATGACCTGCATCTATCCACAAGAAAAAGAGTGAGAAAATCAACACCTTTGCTCCACCTTTCCACTTCATTGCAGACCTGAACAAATGGACAAAATGAATTCCATGAAATTAGTGTGATTCCAGAAAGTGATAGAAGAGTCCCCAAAATGCAGATATGTCTTGTTCCCTTCTGGAGAAAGCAGGAAAAGCCAAGAGGAGAGGGAGCCTCTCAACTCCACCCTGACAGGTCTTGACAGACAGGCAGAATGGAGGCAGCAGGATAACTGTAGATTGTTCAATCTACATGCCCAGCAGTAGGCACTTAGCTCTTGGAATGATAAATAACTACAGAGCACATTCCAAAGCTGCTGTGACCAGTGAGGGACATCTCAGGCTTTTTATTATTCCAGGCTGAGAATCCATTGGCAGCAGAGAGCCAGTTGGACATCATTTACTTCTCAGTCGACAAGGCAGTGGTGGACCAGATGCCCTAATTTATTTGTTGGTCCTCATACTAAAGTTGCAGTTTGCCAGTAAACAGGCAGGGTAATGATGCCAGGCGCCCTTGTTAGGGGCTAATAATTGCTTAATCTGTCCACTAATTGACCCCAGCTCCCAGGGCAGCCCTCTATCAAGGAGCCAGCTTGCGCTCAGGGCCTGTCCATGCTGCCTCTGAGAATGGCTTCTGGAAATGGAGTAGCTCATTGTGATCCATCCTCCTTCACAGATGAACAGATAAATTGGGATGCCAATTAGGCAGCTAATAAAAGAATGAGAGAAACAAAGACCAGAGGCTGCAGCAGCACAGAACTCCTTCTCCCAGGTGGATGAGAGGCAAGGAGAGAATGGGTTTTAGACTTATCTCTTGGCTTGAGGTCAAATTCAATTCAACAGGAATCATTCTCACTGATCAGAAAAATCAGGAGATCTTTTCTTTTAAGTGTGTGTGTGTGTGTGTGTGTGTGTGTGTGTGCGTGTATTTGGTTTGGGGTTTTTTTTTTTTTTTTTGTAGTAGGGGAAGGTGGTAAGTGGAGAGGAGTAGGATGAATGTGGGAGACAGCAAAAGAGGAGAGGAAACACCATGCCTGGCTGTGGATCAAAAGCATTACGTGGGACACGGAAGCAGAGGGATCCAGTGAGCAGAACGACTTAGGAACTTGTATTCGAATCTTTACTGATTATTAGCCAAAGAAGTTGCTTATTAGCTTTTTTCTGATCAGTTTTCTCATCTTTATGGAAGGATAATACTGAATCTGGAAGATTGCTCTGTGCTCTGTACGTTAGCTCCTGGCACAGCACCTGATAATCATGATGTGTTTCAATAAACTCAGAGCCAAGATTGAAAGGCAATGGGGTTAGTGGAAAACAGGATTCATTTTGGAAGTAGACATTCTGGTCTGTGATGATTACTAACCATGCAATTTTGGAGAGAGTCCACTGAATTGGAGAATCCAACAAACCAAAAGAAAACCTGGGTTTCAGTATTGGCTCAGTCCCTGGGTAAGCTGTATGAAGCCTCTGGGTTTTCTCTTTATAAAATTAGGAGAAAGAACCAAGATGCACCAAACATTAACATTCTGTGATGCTATTGGTTTTAATTTCCTCCCCTAAAGTAGAAGAATCTAGCCAATAGGAAAAGGGGAACAGGTACTAGAGAAAAGGTGAGATCAAAAAAAAAAAAAGAATTAACCTAGAAGTTAACACACACGCACAGGAAATCAATGTGAGTCAATGCCCTGTATAGCTATCCTTATCTCAACCAGCAAAAACCCTTGTTCCTTCCTATTATTGCTTACACTCTCTCTACAACAAAATTAGAAATAAGGGCAAAATAGTTTCTGCTGGGTATTTGGTGGGGGGAGAGGGAGGGGGCGGAGTGGGTGGTAAGGGAGGGGGTGGGGGCAGGGGGGAGAAATGAACCAAGCCTTGTATGCACATATGAATAAATAAAAGAAAAAAAAACAAATGCAACTCTGAAAAAAAAAATAAATAAAGTAGAAGAATCTCCTTTGGTCAGGTGAGGAGAGTAATCTCTCCCCAGCTGGGAGATACCATTGACTACCTTGAGATTCTTTGTTTTTCTGTCTGTGAACAAATTTACCAGGTCTTTTCCTCTGAGATGATTTAATCAGGAAAATGGAGGAAAGAGGAACAATGGAAAGGCTGGAGGATAGAGAGGCTGGGAGAAGAAGGAAATGTGGCAGAAGATTTGAAATTAAAGCTGGGTGCCAGAGATTCTTGTCCAGTGCCAATCTTCAGCTGGCCAGAATGAACCATGCCAGACCATGCCAGACCAATCACAACTGAATATCATAGTCATTGCTGTTATTTCTCCCAGAGTCCTTAGCTCAGGACAAAGCCTACAACAGGTGCTTAATAAATGCCTATTGGCTGATCAGTCCCAGGAACTCACTCAACTTTGACAAAAACTGAAGTTAGTTGAATCCATAATCACTCATTCTACAAACACTCCTTAGAAGGGAAAATGCCGAGCATTCTAAGATGAAGAAGGTGTTCCTGCTGCAGAGGGTACATAGCAAGAAATCAAGGTCCTGATGGAAACTGAACAGAGCCATAAGAATCAAAAAGGGGCTCGTGACCCAGTCTGGGGGGTCATGAAGGGATTCTGGAAAACAGATTTGGAGAATGAGCAGAGTGAGCCAAATGATAGGTGCCAGGAGGGTGTCCAGGAAGGAGAATTCTTACACTGAGGCTTGCTGGTAAGAAAGAAGATGGCCTGTTTTGTTAGCAGCTTTTCAATTTCAAAGACATAGCTTTGGGGTTGAAAGTTAGATTCTGAAAGTAGACTGTCCAGGTCTGACTCCTTAGGAGTCATTGATTTGGTGTGTCACCTTTCCTTCTCACTTCCTCAGTTTCCTTACCAGTTAAAAAGAGGACAATAGTAATTACTTGTAGGTTACTCTGAGGATGTAAATGAGTTAACATGTCAAGTGTCTGGCATATAGCAAGTATACAATGATGTTTTAATTGTTACTCTTGCTTGGTTTGCCTTTAGGTTTGTGGAAGGGAGGAGGTATATGAGAGATATGAGCAGAGGTGAGCAGAATCTTGTCAGTACAACTGAAAATACCTGAAAGGCATTGGAGAGCCACTGAAAGCTTGAAGCTAGGAAGATGCAAGGTCAAATGTGGGCTTTGGCGAGCATCCCCTAGCTGCAGTAGAGATTGCTGCTTAGAGGGAAGGTGTAGTCAGGAATGAGGGACTGACTACAGTGGTGACCTGCAGAGGCACTACAGTGACCAAGAGAATCATAAGGATGCAACAGGTGAAAGGGAAGTAGTGCTACCAGCCTCACAAAGCAACTGAACTCTTTGCTCAAGTCATATAACTTTGGGGAAAATGACCGAGATTAATTTTCTAGCCCCTGGCAGGATGGGGCCTCAAAATGGAAACTGAGTTCAGAAGAATGAGGACCGTTACCTTTCCTGAACCTTTGAGTCTTTTGGGGATTGATGCTTGCACATGCTGTTCATGTCTATCTTTCCTCTAGGCTGTGAATTTCAGGAAAGCAGGAACTGGCCTACTCTCTTTGCTACCATACTCTCCGTGCCTTGGTGTGTGACACCGGAAAAGTGTGTGGTAGATACACATAAATAAAATCAGTCCAAGTGTGAACACTATACATCATTAGTTAGATTGTCTTGCAATGCTATTGGCTCCATTTTAAAGACAGAGAAACCAAGTCAGAGTGTGACATCACTTGCTGAGTGTTTCACAGAGTCCAGATGGGATTCATATTCAGTGTTGCTGGCTTCAAAGCAGTGCTTTTTCCATTAAGCGAAGATAGAAAAACTCAGGAGACTATTTGCATGTATTTTTCAGAATAATTTGCATGTGCCTGCATGATTTTCTCTCTAGACAGTTTTATGTAAGGATTGTTGTTTCTTTTCTTTGCTCACAGGCAGTATCCTAGGCAGCATCTTGCTTGAAGCATGACAGTTGAGATCTCTGTTGGGCCCAGAGTATGGTGTGCAGGACAGCAGCCATTAGGCCCTCCCTTTATTGTTACCAGGCCCCTTCTGTCCTCAGCCAAGCCCAATGGCCTCAACTTACAGAACCATAGGGAGTCTGATCCTGAAGAGCCTGAGGCTCACACTAAGTCTTCACCTTCGACTCCCAGCTCTACCCATTTCATAAATGAAGAGACAGAAAGAAGCCAAGGAAAGAGAAAGTTCCCATCACACCCACATTTATGATGAGAGGTTGTTTGGGACATAGAGAGAAGATGAAGAATGGGTGAGGAACAGAGGTAGGAGAAAAGCAAAGTACAGGAAAGGGCAAAGGTCATCATCTCACTGATGGGAAATGGGTATATTAGGTTGTGCTTGACCCTGATGGCTGGTGGCATTGGTGGTTGCAAAAGCATGGTATATGCTTATGTGTGTGCTCACACCCTTCTCCCTTTTCTTACTCCCACAAAGTAGCCCTGAGGAGTGAACTCCCAAGGAGAGGGCCAGCCCTTTATCTTCATACAGTATAGGCCTGGGAGTTATCTTGACAGGAATCAGCAGGGCTTATGCTGGGAGGCCTGAGCTCCACCACTAACTTGTCAGGTGATGTTCAATGAGCCCCTTGACTACTCTGGAAAGTAGGGGTGAGAGCTGCCCTGTGAGTGACTGTGGGATTTCTGTGGAAGTGCATGGGAGGAGAGCGTGAACATGGCTCAGCATAGCACTGACTCTCATCCCCATGGCATCCCCATCCTTGAGCAAGTTCTTGCTGCCCCATTTTGCAGGTGAGGAAACAGAGGCTTTGAGAGTCAAAGACTTGCTGAAGGTCCCTCAGCTGGCAGGCAGAGTAGTAGGATTCAAATTTAGGCCTGTCCAACTCCAAACCTTAGCCATGACCATTGCCTCTGCTGCTCTCCAGAGTATGGCATATCTGGCCCACAGTAGCATTCCATGAGTGTTCATCTCATTAATTCAGCAATAAGGGTGTGAAGAGGACAAATCCAATCTGCAGATGGGATTTTCTTATTTTATTTCTTTTTTTCCTTCCTTCTTCCTTCCTTCCTTCCTTCCTTCCTTCCTTCCTTCCTCCCTCCCTTTCCTTCCTTCCTTTCTTCCTTCCTTTTTTTTTTCAATACTTGGGTTTGATCTCAGGGCCTTGTGCTTGCTAGGCATGTGCTCTACCAATTGAGACATGCCGTCAGCCTCAGGATTTACAACAAAAGGGGGCCATTTTCTTGGTTGGGAGTCAGAGACTGAGGTCTGGGTCTGGGTCTGGGCCTGGCCAAGCTTCCAACCTGTAATCAGAGTTTCCAGGTGAAAAGAGCCCAGCTAAAACCTGTCCCCAAGGCAGAGAGGCAAAGTGGGGCCCACAGCACAAAAGTGTGTCACCAAGAACCCAGCACCTGCAATATGCTCCATTAGTGCTGCCTCTCTCCTCCCCACATGGTGACCCTTCATGCTCATTGTATTCCAGACACTGTCCTATCATGTTTATGGCTGTTAACTCCTCTTATCTTTATAACTCTGTGAGACAGGATTCCTATTATTTCCCTTTGGAGATAAAGCACTGAGACAGAGAAGTTCTGTGACATTACCAAAGTTACACTGTAGTAAGTGAAGGTGCTGGGATCCTTAGAGCCTATAACCTCACGTACCCAACCACAGGGTAGCACGTGGGTTCCTATGACATGGTAGCTGGAGAATGAGGAGAGTTTGTCCTCACAAATGCCACAAGTAAGGTCTGGGAAGATAAAGGAGTGACCTAGAGTCCACTGTTCCATCACCATATCAGGAAATCCAGGCCTTGCCACTCTAATGACACTCCTTCCAGAACTCTGCACTGACATAATTTCACTCTACTCTCAGCAGCAGGTGCATCAGCAGCTTGGTGGCAAGAACCATGGTCCCAGCCAGATGGGGATGACCACCCTCACATGCCTGCTTCCTGCTCAAGGTCACTGAGGCAGTTAGTTAATGGGGAAGAGTTAACAGATCTTAGACATCATCCCTCTAGATCTCAGGCCTGCCTACCTCCCCAAAATAAGATGGGCTCTGACTGTAGAAGAAACCTCTACCTGTGTCATGTGGGGCATGATCTGTGCTGTCCTCATGTGACTGAGAGACTCAGTGTAGGCAGAAAAGTAGGCATGATGCCTGTGTTATACTTCTTCAAGGTAGGATAAATCATGTCTTAAGAGACAGCCATAGAGACTGGGAAAAAGGGAGAGCAGAGCAGAATTGGGAAGATGGATTCCAAAACCATTGTCATGAATGAGTTGTGAGACGTTGGGTTAGCTATCTCACTTCCCTGAGTCTCCTGTAAAATATACATAAATTGTGGGATATTAAGACATTTGTGTCTTGTCAGGTACAAACTTGACTTCTAGCATTTCTTATTTCTGAGTAGAACAAAGAAGCACATATAGGCTAGGAAGTTGGCCAAACCCAGGATGAGTCTCTTTTGCTATTTGCTAGCTGTGTGACCTTGAGGATCCTCTTTCTTAATTCAGTTTTAGTAATACATAGCCAACATAGCCTTTGTTCCTCCAAACAACCCCATATAATGAACAAGATAATCCTATTTTACAGATGTGGAAAGTGACAGTTGGAGAGCTGGCCCAAGGCCTTCAGTAGTTTATGGTTTAATTGGGGGAGAAACAAATGCAAGTCAATCATATAACAAACCAGGGCAATAAAGATCTTTTATTGACGATGGCATTCTTTAGAACTACAGTATAGGTAGAAAGAAGGGGGTTGAGGGAGTGAGACAAGGAGACTCACAGTGGGAGCACTTGGAATAAGCCTTGGGAGATGGGAGATACTAAGACAAGTGGCAAGGAGTGGGTTCAGGTCCTCCTAGTCAGAAGGAGCATCAGATGCAAAGGGCAGGTTCTGAAGAGAAGACTGTCCATTCGTTGATTAATCTGTATGGGGCTGAGGAGTAATGAGGGTGAGGCCAGAGAACCTGCCAAGAGCCAGATCATTATGGACATTGAATGCTGTACTAGATTTGAGTTTGTCTTGAGAAGATAATGAGCAAATATTTATTTGAAAACCTAAAGGACATCATTGAGTGTATTAACTCAGCACTATCCAAAGGTCCTTTATTATGTTAACAGAGAGAGCACCTCATATCTACTCAACTTCTCTATGTTCCAGTCTTCATCTGTAAAATGGGATGGTGACCCTGCCCTCTGTCCACAGCACACAAAAGAGGTGAGTTCAGGGATTCAGGTTCCTAGACATGCAGGTCCTGATGGCAAGGTTACTGTGTTTTTGCAAACAAGGACAAAGCAGCTACATCCAATCAGTTGGCGGAACCGAGCTGCTGACAAGTTTAATAACTGGCAGATGGCTGCAGGTAAAGGGGTAGGTAAACCCAGGAGGAATGAGAAAGGTTACTGCAAGGACAGTGTATGGAGAGGGAGTATAAAGTGAGAATGCTAATGAGTCAGCTGCAGCCACTGGAGCCCAGCCATGCCTCAGACAAGCTGCTGGGCTTTGGACAAGTCACTTCCTCTCCCTGAAACTCAGTCATCTCAGCTGAAAAATAGAGGGAGGCAATCATGCCCAACCACAGCACAGAAAAAGTAGGAACTGGGAAAATGAAACACATATTTATTTGCACAGTGCTTGATAGTTTGCAAAGCAGATTACCTGCTTCATCTTCTCAGGTTCCCATGGGGACAGAGGTGGCATCTGTGGAGGGCCTGCTGCATGCCAGGCACAGGATTGGGTGTTGGGTTTACATTCATCTCATGCCAGCTTCCTAACAGCTTTCCTGGATAGCATTGTTATCCTAATTTTACATTTGAGGAAACTAAAGCCACCCCAGGGTTGTCTGTTTCCAAATTTCTAGACACTTCCACTGTAGTGGACAGTACACAGCTGTCCTCAAGTCAAATAACCTTCATAGGCTTTTCATATCCCTCAACCTCATGGTCATCTTAAAATTGAAATGAGATAAATGATTTCAGTTTTCTCATATGTAAAAATACAGTTCCTGTGACATGAGAAATTAATATCATTAAAATAAATTAATAAAACTAATTAATTAAAATACATAGTGTGCTTAAAACAGTACTTGGGAAATATATCAAATATTTTCATGTATAATACAATCACTAGGTGGGTACAAATGAAAACATACTGGCAAGAATATGGGACAGTAGGAACTCAAACATTGCAGGTGGCAGTGCAAAAGTGTATGTTTTGGAGAGAAATTTGGAAATATGTAGTAAAGTGGATGCACATATCTTATGGCCCAGGAATTACATTCCCATGGTATACATCCTAGGAAAGAATTTTCACATGTGCACAAGGTAGATGCATAAAAATGTTTGTAAGTGCATATTGGTAAGAAAAGTATACCGTAAACGATGTAATTATCCATTAACAGTCCAGTAGGTAAATATTGAGTTGTAGCCAGACATGGAATATAATAAATACAGTGGAAAAAAGCTAGTGAATAACTATATTAACCAACATAGATACTGAACATAAAGCAAGTCTCAATGCATGCAAAATGATGGAATTCTTATTATAGTTCAAAAACAAGAGAAACTTTAAAAACCCACTATTTAGAAATGTTTACATACATAGTAAAACTATTAAGAAAGATTAAGAATGACAAAACACAAAATTCAAGCTGATGGTTATCTTTGGGGCAAAGTAGGAAGGAGGACAAAGAACTGGAATTGATAATATTGTGCTTCTTAAATTGATGGATACCTGAGCATTCATTATATTATCATTTGTATCCTATTTATTGAATGTATATTTCTGACTATAGCTGACTAATTAAATACTTATTTTATTTGGATTAAATGTTTACAAATAAGTTTTAAAAGCAATTATAAAGCAATATACTTGAGCAGAGAAATTGTCTTATTTGCATTTGGTTTTCTGATACCAAGCATGCCTTTTTGTTCATAGTAGGCATTTCAAAAGTTGTTCATTGGGCTGGAGGTGTGGCTCAAGTGGCAGAGCACCTTCCTAGCAAGCACAAGGCCTGAGTTCAAACCCCAGTACTGCCAAAAAAAGGTTATTTGTGAAGTGAATGAACAAATGAGTAAATAGATATTTTTCAGTCTTTATTTTCCCATTTCACAGCCCTTCTACCAATAGACACATTGAGCTGGGGCTAGATTTCTTATTGTTGTAAACTGTTGAAGACGAGTAAAGCTGAGAACTGTAGTTGACTCTATGGTCTATCCTCAGTGGAGCACATTGAGAGAATTTCACTCAGCCCCATCTGTTCATTTATCCATCCATCCATTCATCTATCCATCCATAGATGTCTCTAGTCAATAAGCATTTATTGAGACAAAACATAGTAGAGATCAAGTGTACCTTCTTTAAAGAAGTGAAGTAAATTGCTATCCAAGATAATGACGCTGTATGTGACTACACTGTCCCAGAGGTCATCACAGTGCCCCAGTTGGATGTAAGAGCATTTTATATGCAATTTTAAACTCACCTTGGCACACAAACGAAGAGGGAGTTTCCCCTGGATGGACTCGTCCTGTGATGAATACTACCTTCTGCTCTGCCCCTTCCCGAAGATTGTCTGGAAGATAAAATGGAAGAAGGTCACCAGGAGGGCAAGGAAAGCTGACACTAGGGATTGGTATGTAGGAGGGAGGTAGATGAGCTGGATGTTTTACATTTGTCTCTTAAATCATTGTGTTAGAAACATTAAGGCCTAGTCAATGCTAACCAATTAAATTATGTCTCTAGCTACTCAATATTAAAAGACTACATTCCCTTTTCTTGGTGCTACTTAGCATATTATATTAATATACAATATTTGCAATCATCTGAGGAAGTCGCATGAGTGAAGTTGAATTCCCAAAGCCACCGACTGTGACCCTAGACAGTTGTGCATCTTTCTGAGTTTCAATGTTCTACTCAATAAACCAGGATAATGATATCTGCTTCATAAGGTTGTTGTGATGATTAAACAAGCTTATACATAGCATGGTACTCAACAAACATCTATTCAATTATGGAGTAAAGAAGGCATGTATTTATGTCAATAGTAATAGTAGCAGCTGCCATTTAATCAACCCCTTTGTGTCAGACACACACACATATATATATATATTTATAATCCTTATAGCAACATGTAGTTGATACTCCTTCTATAGGGGCAGAAACTGAGCTCAGAGAGAGTATATATTTGTTCAAGGTCACATAGCTAATAGGTATTGGCAGAAACTGAGATTCAAACCCAAGTTCTTGTCTGGAGGTAATGAAGTAACAGGGACCAGATTTCCTTCTACCTTAAGCAACTAGAAAATTAAACAAAATATACAACACAACTACTTTCAGACATTGGACAAGAGGCATTACAAGATCATCCATGAGAAAGGGGAAGCAAATAAGATATGCCCTATATGCCCTTGCATTTTGCCTGATGGTCCATTATAGACCAAAGAGCAGGGAGCAGGTATCCTGAGCAAAATGTGGAAACCTCACTGAGATTCAAGTTCAGCAGGTGACAGTTGTGGGAAATCTCTGTGAATTCCAGAGGAGGGAGCTCTGTAGAAAAAGAATTTCAGAAGTCTGTAAAGGATTCTTCTTGAGTCTTTGTTAGATCATCCTAAGATGTGCATGCATAGGGTGAATCTTCATGCTGTAGCTCAGGTCTTGAATGTCCCCCAAAGGCCTGTGTGTTGAAGGCTTGGCCCATGTCATTATGGGAGGTGGTGGAACCATTAGGAGGTGGTAGAAGGTAGAGCCTAGTACAAGTAAGTTAGGTCATGGGGTTATACCCTTGAAGGAGATATCAGGACCCTAGCCCCTCTTTTTCTTTCTTTGTCATGTGGTAAGCAGTTTCCTCTGTCATATGCTCCCACCATGATATACTGTGCTTCCATAGGTCCAAAAGCAACAGTGCCAAGTTACCATGGACTGAAACCTCTAATACCATAAATCAAAATAAACATTTCTCCCTTATAAATTGTTTATCTCAGGTATTTTGTCACAGTGGCAGAAAGCTGACTAACACATACCATTATGTTAGGGAAAAATGGCCAGGAACTGCACACTTCCCAGGAGTTACACAGGTCTGGGAACCATTTGAATTATTAGTACCAAAGCAGAAGTCCTTGTTGACCACTTGAGAAGAATGATAACTCAGAAAGGCCATATCTTAATTGGTGCCAAAACTGCCTTACACATACATTAACAAGGCTTTAAACCAATCTCAAAAAGAATCAAATTGAATAAAAGAATTTTAACTGCTGCTATAAGAAAGCTCAACTATCTTTAAAGGAAGACAGCAAAATCCAGACACACAACAATGTACAATTTGCAATATCCAGCATCTAATAAAAATTATTAGATATGTAGATATGCCAGATCAGAACCCAAGCTCTTTCTGCCACTACAGGAGTTTTGCCAGTATAATAAAGTTCAGCTATTACACAAAAAAATCAGTAGTCAAGAGTGACATTGCTAAAAAAGATGAATCAGGGAAAGGGTGCTTAGTCACGAACAGAAGAAGAATTGGAACAATCTCAAGGAAATTTAGGAAGAAACACTGAGAAGAATTGGTTAAAGAAACCAATCTATGTTAGATTATCTGGAGAGAGAGAGTGTAGAAAAAGTTATCAGACTTTTTCCTTCTAAAATGCAGGTGACAAATAATTTTGAATGTGGTTCATTATTCCAACAGTTGCACCAATGACAGAGACTAAAGAAAAAAAAGTTAACTTCATTAATCAATGTGCTAAAGGCTTGAGATTTGTTTGGTTCATTGGGGGTATCGGAGTCACCGCTTCCACTGAAAAGCAACAAGAAATATAATGGGACCAAAATATGTAAGAACTCATCCTGTGCTCAGCTCTATGGTAGGCACCTTTAGGAATAAACAGGGACAAAGAAGGCTTACCACTCTGAAGAACTTTTTGGTTTTAAAAGAGGAGTTAATCACCTTAACATTTCCCAGACTGAATACAAGCTACTGAAAGGAGAATCAACATCTATGTGTGTGTCTCTAATGTATTTCCCAGGATCCTGTATGGAGCAGGTATTCGGGAACTAGCTGTAAGGAAAAATACTTGTATAGGTCATACTTTATAAAGAAGTTTAGACACCTATTATTTAATCTTCATATGCTTTGGTGAGGGAGACAGTGCTAATCCCATTTTCCAGGTGAGGGAACTGAGGCCCAAGGTCATGCAGCTAGTAATCAAGCCCTGGCTCCCAGCCAGTGTCTCCTTCGCTATCCTATCTGTCTCCTTCTGGGTCCACTAACAACATTGTAAGATACCACATCTGCCTCATTTCTACCTACAATGGGCCCAAAATAGTTTGAATTCATTCTTTATCGCTGATGGAAATTGAGCTTCTGTCTTAGTATTTATATTATTTTTTCACTTAAAAAATTACCAAGCCTTTTTAAAACACAGTACCTAATTCTGACCCCATGTATGCCAGCAGTCCAGAAATGATAAATGGAATTGCTGAGGCCCTCAGTGAAGGCAAACTTTATGAATGTCTCCCTTGACCCAGTATCAACTCAATTGAATTCAGCATTTCTGCTGACCATAGGGAAATGCAAAATGGGCATTCTATTTGCACACTAATTTTACTGAGCCCCAGTGTCTTCATAAAATGATAACACAGGGCTAATAAAAATCAAGCATCTCAGGTGCTAATATAAGCAAATGTTGATGCAGGCAGGTAACAAATTGCTTTGTCATTTAGGAGGCCATAAAAGACCATTATAATCATCTTTATGCAAAATGGATGAGTTGCCTTTGCTTAGCTTTTAGCTTTCATTTGCAAAATCAATTTAAGGTAATGTAGCAGCTCGGAGATGGTGTGACATGGGACCACCTCCAGCCCCCTCCTATCACCAAATCCCCAGACTCCATGCAAAGCCAATTAAACATATTCTTGATGGAGGCAGCAGGGGTGAAGAAGGAAGTACACTTGAACAAAGCTAGGATGGAACAGAATGCAAACAATGAGACCAACAGCAACCCATAATGCATGGTAAAACTGGAGAGCTCATGGACGTTGACAAGTTCAAGGGTACAAGATCATACTCGAATGGGTCTGAATCAGCCACATCAGGATGCCCAGTTAAAGTAAAGGTGTAAGTCAAACATCTTTGTGTAGCACCCCAACCCATATGTGCACACATGAACGAATGCACAAACACACACACACATGCACACACACACAAATACATACAGGTACCCCTTTGTCATTATGTTCCTCTATCACACACTATTTCCTAACTAATAAAATGTTTACTGAAGACCTATTAAGTGGCCGGGTACTATTATATTCTTCATTTTACAGAAAACGAAGGCCAAGAGAGATTCAGTGACTTGCCTTAATTCTCATAGATAATGATGCCAAAGCCAGAGTCCCAACTCAGGCAGAAACTGTGCTCTTAATCTCTTCTTTACACTATGAAGGAGGACAATAACATTGTTCTATTATGATAGCAATTAAGTAATATTCATTAAATGTTTATTCTGTGCCAGACACTTTACGTGCATGATTTCACTTAATTCTCACAGTAACCCAATGAAACATCTTTCCATTACTATACTATTCCTAACCCTCTTTTATAGATTAGGAAACAGATCCAGAAACATTAACTGACTTGCCTAAACTTGCACAAGGAGCCAGGAATAAACCTAGGTCTTAAGAATCTCTAATTTATGCTCTTATCATTGTGTCATATTGACTCTTAGAGATTAATTAGAGTCCCTGTGGTGGTTTTAAAATTATGTTCACCAATTCTTTGTTAATCTTCTATTTCAAGATGTAGAAATTTAGTTTCTGTCCCACCTGGCCAGGGCTCATCACTCTTTCTTTTGTGGTGTCTATACTTTCATTTTCCTTTCAATAAAACTCTACTATGGCTTTGCAAAAATAAATAGATAAATAAAAGGGACTGATTAACTTCCCTTCTCTTCTATGTGGGCTGGGTTTAGAGGATCTGCTTCTAACAAATGGCATACTATGAAAGTGATGATACAATATTTCTGAAATTGAGCTATAAAATAGACTGAGGGCTTGGGCTATGCTTGTTCTTTCTTGAATCACTCACTTTTGGGGGAGCCAACTACCATGTCATGAAGACACTCAGGTAGCCTATGAAAAGGCCCATTTGATGAGGAACTGAAGTACCCAGAAAATAGCCAAGATGAACTGGCATCTGCCGAAGCCAAAAGGGGTCCTCCAATCCCAGATGACTACAGTCCTGGCCCAGTCCTTCAGCAAGAACTACCAGTGAGGCACTCCCACATGCCTGACCCACAGAAACTGAGACATAATAATAAACGTCTGTTATTTTAAGATAATAAATTCTAGAATAACTTGTTAGACAGCAATATACAACTGGTAGGTGTCTCCCAGGATATAAATTTATTTCCCATTGTTGATATGTAGAATCTAAGTAAATTTGCATCTTATCTATTGATGTTAACTTTGAATAAGGACGAAAGTCATAATCTTGGTCTTTCATGAAGTGTCAGAGAAAAGCCTTGATCCATGTGGTCAATTACCTATGGATCAGTGACTGATTGGGTATTGGGAGAT